TGAAAATGGATGGGGAAAAAAATAGGCATCAATCACCCTCTTTCTGGGGCTCCACACAAGGTCTCGCCCCGTGGGGTATTGATGATCATGAGAAAGGTCTGGGATCAGCCAAGAACTACACGGGAGGAACTTGTTAATGATCTCAAGGCAGCTGGGACCACAGTCACCAAGAAAACTATTGGTAACACACTACACCATAATGGATCAAACCCTGCTAAGCCCGCAAGGCCCCCTGATCGAGAAGGCACGTCTGAAATGTGCCAATGAATATCTGAATTATACAAAATCAACTCGACCTGCCGTGTTTGGAGGAAGAGAGATGCTGACTATAACCCTAAGAACACCATCTTTTTTCTTTTTGATATTCTTACTCTCACTGTTGATATAAACCTACCATTACAAATATAGACTGTACATTTCTTTGTAAGTGGGCAAACTAACAAAATCAGCAGGGGATCAATTTATTTCCTCCACTGTATATACATGCAATATTTACATCTAGTTTTTTTTTAATGAAGAACAGACGAGATAAAAATAAATAAGATGAAAAAAGATAACTGTCACAATGAATACCTTATCTTTAAATTGCATACCAAATCTTCCCACGTGGAAAAATAAAATAAATAAATAAAATAAAATATATAAATAACTATAAACTATAAAAACATGAACATCCATAATAATAATAATAATAATAACAATAATAATACATTTCAAATAACTCGATATGTGCGATATACCAAACTATTGTTATTATTATTATCATTATTAATATGATTATTGTTCCATTTGTTCCATATAATCCCACTCTTTGTTTATTTTGTCTGTTAAGTATTTCAACATTTGAGAGTAAATCCAACATGTGCTTTTTTCCCTTTCTTTTTCTCTGCTTGTTCTCCAGTGGGAAGAGAACCTGACCCCCAACCCACCTCTATGGAGCCGCCCCGCGACCTGGTGACATCAGAGATCACTGCCCGCACCTTCCGGGTGAGATGGACGCACGCGTCGGGCCAGGTGGAGAAATACCGCGTGGTCTACTACCCAGCCAGCGGGGGGCAGCCGGAAGAAAAGGTACCTGCAATATTTACTTTTTAAATCTATAACACAAGGATGGAAATTACTTTATTTGTTACATCCTCTTACATGATCACTACAGTTTACATTAACTCCTGTGATTCTCATACTTCTTGCACTTCTGATAATATCTGTAAAGTTGTTTTTTTTGCCACAAGGATCAACTTCCTGTCAATGCAAGAAGAATTTAAGTTTCATTGGAGTTGTTTTCCAACTCAATGGTTACTATGTGGTAGATCTGAGTCTCTTGCTTCTCGTCAAATATGAGAGGGGGTTTCCTTACAGTCTCTTAATTGGTGTAACTTTGTTTCTGAATTCCCAGCAGACGATAACAAAAATGCTCAATTAGTGATGTAGTGACAGCACTTCAATAGAGGCTGCTCAGCTAAGTGTGTAAGGATTTACTTCAATATATTTTTAGGTGATTTGCATCATGAAAAGCAACAATTCTACAGGTTCATTACACCATTGCCCCCCAACATTTCAAAACTTTATCCTGCTACCAGAAAGTGATTTTTTCCAGAAACCCCTGAAGCTTTGATCCAATGTGTGATGCAGACAGGTTACATTTCTTTACACCCTATTTATGTAAATGAGGTCAGGCTAAATACCAGAATCAGCTCTCTTTAGAAATGCATCATTTGTCATAATTATTGAGGTCGTCTGCCATCTTAATTATTCCTATCAGGATCTGCCATGACTGTCATTTGTCAGAAGAAATTCTCACAGAAATGATTATTTCACCAAACAAAGCGGTCATGTCAGGTATAGCAAGCGGATAGACTTAATCCTTCATTTCTCAATAATTACTTGTTTGCTGTAAATGATCTGTCTTATAGAATACTAAATAAAGAAGACATTTGACAAAGGATATTGATTAAAATCTATTTTATTGCTTAGCTAAAATAAACCAAAAAATCTGAACTGTGTTAATCTTTTATCCGTAGCATGAGCCTACTATAAATAAATAACAGACCATAGAATGCTGTTATTGAACAATCAGAATCTAGTGAATTGTGTAATTAGTGAAAGTATTAGTCCCATATCGATTGGCATCTCAGATTTTTTGTTTCTTTGCAAAGTTTGTGGTTTTCTCTCGGCCTTTTAAAGCTTTCACTCAGAGCCTTGTCATCATATCAGGGGAATAGTGTTGGTAAAATACAGACTTGGATTATTCAGTCCAAATCAGCCCATACAAATTAGAGGTTTTTATTTCTAAACCACATTAAGTCTGGCGATGGTAATAGTCCTGTGTGAATCGATCTCAGAGTACAATTAAATTATTACATTACATGTCACTTGTTAGACGCTTTTATCCAAAGTGACTTACATACATTCAGTACTGTGGACAATCCCCACAGGAGCAATTTGGGGGGAAGTGTCTTCAGGGACACAACGACATGCTGACTGCAGTGGGACTCGAACTTGCTACCCCGAGATTCGAAGTCCAGCACACAATCCACTGGGCCACAGCCTCCCTCTACAATAATTTAAGCTATAGGTGTACCTAATAAACTGTCGGAGTGTCGTCTGTCTGTAGGAACCTGACAACCTGTGCGGTAAATTGATTTAAAAGTCGTTGGAAGTTTTCCTACCTGTATAACTGCACATACGCATCGCTGTAATTTTCTGAGTTGATATTTATGTATATACAGTTCCCTCTCATTTTTATCCACTTTCCCTTTGATGTGGATTATAACGTGCAGCTGGAATGGCCCCGGTTTCCCCACAAGGAACACTGAGGTTTCATCAAAGCTTATCTGATCTAGTTACACTCAATTGAAATCTCTTTGGAGACGAGCCGAATGCCTACAGCAACATGTGGTGCTTTTTCAGCCGTGCAACATGAAGTTCCCCAGTAAACACCGCATTTTTGGATAATTCAATGATTTGTGATGTACATAATGCTGCTGTCTGTACCAAAGGGTTGCAGAACCAGAGCTAATTAAAGTATTTTTTAAATATCAGAGATGTAGCTGAAATAACTAACAGTAATAATCATGGCAAACAAACTTGCTTGCTGACACACTGAAACATTTTAGAAATGCCAAAACGAATACTAAGACTGGACGATCTTCATATCTGAGTGTAAAGCAGTTCTGCAGCTTTCATGCTAACACCCTGTGTGATCTGTGTTTAAGGTGGTGCACGGAACAGAGAACAGTGTGGAGCTGAATTACCTGAACTCTCTGACAGAGTACCAGGTGGCTGTTTTTGCCGTCTACCGCAGCTCGGCCAGCGAGGCCCTGAGAGGAAGTGCTACTACATGTAAGTTTATATTTGGAGACGACACAGGAGAATGTTGCAGGGAATGTGGGTAGTGTTACACTGCAAATTACAATAGATCAATCATTTAACACAATACAATCATTTGACATCAATTTATTGATTACATTGTTATACTTCTGCTGCAAAGAACATTTGAAAGGTTTTTCTTTTTTTACCAAATGTCCTATTTATCCACATTTTCAACAACTTCGTACCTACACATTTTCTGCATAGCCTTGTTTAGTAGAAATGTATTTGTTGTCAGTACTTGAGATTACTGAAACACTGTTGGAGATAGTCAGTGTAGTCGGTTGAAGAGAATACCAATGTCCGTTCAACAGCAGCAAACAACCGAGGCCTGGCGATAACTTTTGAAAGACATTTAGTTTTTTTTCTATTTTTCTATTTAATATATTATTCATTTCATACATCTATACTATTTATTACAGAATTTGGCGTCAAATTCTGAATTCTGAGAATACATTTCAAACACAAGTTCTTTTTCCCATGCATAATCTTTTTGTTTTGCTTTATATATCTTTATTGAACAAGGACCATGAATACAAATTCATACATCTCAAAAAGAGAAGAGATGCTATACCAGGGTGTCCGCGGGGTCTTAAAAAGTATTACAAGTTGATAAATCAATTTAGCGAAAATGAAGGCTATTAAAAAGTATTAAACGGCATTTTCCAAGGTATTACATTTTGTAGCTTGTTTTCAATAAGTATATAAATTGTCCAAAGAGGTTGTATTCTACAGTCTGCCTGAATGTAATCATTGCGTAGGTGTGTAGTGTGATTCTGTGTAGTTTATTCATGGCATCCCGTTGGATTTGACGTCATCTGAACAGGACATCGCACGCTCACTGCTTGATAGCGCGCGAAGGTCCGTTTACGCCGGTTGTTAAACAACATCGTTATGGGGAAATGCAAGTTTGCGTCCAAATGGTTGGAAGATAAGGAGGAAGGACAATCAATACTGTATATAGTGAATGTGAGGTAAAGTGTGTCGCCAATGAAACCGGTTAAAACTTAAAGTGGCGATGAGGTCTTAAAATGTATGGAAAGGGTCTTAAAAAAGGTCTTAAAAGGTATTAAATTTGACTTCAGGATTCCTGCATATACCCTGTATATATATATATATATATATATATATATATATATATATATATGCCAGATTATAGCTAAAGCTCATTTGCATCTGTACAAACAATAAAAACATTTCATAATGCCTATCACAATAACAAATCAAATAGATAAAATACAGATGTATAACATATAAATACTAGTACATTTGTCATATAAATATAATTTTACAATTCATTTAAACAAACATCTCAAATTGCAGTAACATTTATGTTGGCAAGACTAAGTGATGTTTGCACTACGGGAAACAGTGTGAAAAGGGTTAAAGATCAGCTGGAAGAACATTTCAATGTGTGATTGTCGTAAAAGAGAAAGCAGTTTGTGAAAAGGCCTAAGTGGGAGAGTTACATCTACGTTTTAGAGGTTCTGCCCATTTGCTGCTTTCTTTTTCTGAAGAAGAAGATTAGTCTTCTGAGAAAGAGGAAGGAAATGCTGTCGGCGTCATTTGGTGACAGAAACTGATAGACTAAAGCTGATGTGAAATCAAAAAGTCTTTCAGTCCGGCACTGAGCTGTGAACATGGAGAAAGTGGTCGTGCTTTGTCTGCTGTTGGTGGAGCTCAGCTCTTCTGTTACTCAAGAAACACAGATATACTTCAAAGAGGGCAACAGTCTGACGTTGGACTTGAGGTCTTTTCCTTCCAAAAGTATCACCAGCATCCTCTGGACGTGTAACGGTGATTTGCTGGTAGATTGTTGTGAAAGTATGTATTACCTCACATACAAAGGAACAGCCACCCTGGATATACACACCGGACGTTTGATGATCAAGAACATGACCAAAGCTGACGAGGGTGTTTATTCAGTGGAGATTAACAACAAGGTCCAAGGTGAGACATATACAGCTGTAATGATCAAACACGTTCCCAAGCCGCAAGTGAGGGTCTCCCCTCTGACATGCAGAGGCCCTTGTAAGCTGACCTGTGAGGGGGACACCACCGGGGCCGGACCTGTCACCTACAGCTGGAAGACGGGGGACGGAGAGTGGAAGGAGTTGCAGAAGGACATCATGGAGGAAGAGCATGGACACGTGCAAACCTTCACCTGCAGGATGAAGAACCCATTAAGTGAGGAAGAAAGCCCTGCCCGCACGATTCTCTTCCTACCAGGAAAACCAGCTGACTCTGGACTCTGGATCAAAGTGTTAGGGGCTGTGATCAAATCCCTGGCTGTCCTCGCCCTGCTGGGGGCCATGGTGTATGCGTTGTGGAGGAACCAAGAGACTCTCAGGGAACTGCTGTCTCCATGCCAGAGCAAGAATAGTGATTATGTAAATGAAGCTTAAAGACGATGTTCACTTTGAGCATTGATAAAGCAAGTCATTGAACATTGAACTTAATCTTCCCTGAAGCCTTTGTCATTTGAATAGAGATTTGTTCAAGTCAGGTCTGCTTTGATATGGTGTTTCTGATATTTCCCCCTGCATTCTATGCATGGACATCATCCTTTATACCCTGAGACGGAGGGGGTACAGACAGATAAAGGCAACATGCAATCAGCTTATGGTGGAAATGTTCCTGACCTAGTTTTTAAAGCATTATAGAAATCAAATCAAACATGAAAGTAAATGCAATTATGGTTGTGAAGTCTTAAAGTCAAATATGTTATAACATACTGTTTATCTTCTACTTGTTTTGACTTTTGACTTTTGACTTGACCAGGAACGCAGATGAAATAAATGCAATGTTGGTTAAAACAAAAACAACACATGTGTAAAATAAAAGGTTATTACATTCGACCTTGTCACCTACTGATTATGTAGCAGTGTCCTTGGGCAATACACCAAATGACTCCTGAGGGAATTGTCCACAGTATTAAGTATGGAAGTTGCTTTTGGTAGAAGCGTCTTATAAGGAACATTGCAATGTAATGTAATGATAGTAATGACGATCCACCAGCAGGCAGTTGTGTAAAGCAACTACATTTACTCAAGTACTGTACTTAAATACTCTTTTGAGGGAAAGTACTTTTCTTGTGAATTCCAATTTTTTGCTACTTTTTACTTACGCTATTACAATTCAGAGGCTTTAGTTAATTTGCAGATTTGGATTAAAAATAATATGAAATATAAACAACCCTTAAACCCTTGATAACATATTATTATAGTATGGGGCAATCTGCATAATGAGTACTTTGGATGTCAATACTTTTGTACTTTTACTTGAGTAACATTTGGAATACAGGACTTTTACCTGTAACAGAGTTATAGCGACAGCAGGAAACAAACAAAGTCGCTGAGAGGCTGAGGCCGGGCCTGTTTGATATTGTATGACACGCTAAAAAAGAGTACTGAGATCAAAACTCTGTTGAATTGTAATGTAGTTTAATGAAAAATACGCGGAGATTAGACATTGTAATAATAATGATCAAAGCAATCATAAATCTTGCGGTCAACAAAAAGTACAACGGCCCTGTGTCACCCTCTCTTCCACACACACACCTCACGCAGGTGAACAGGATTATAATGAGTGCCGCCCATATCCATGTGACCCAAGCCAACCAATCAATAGTGATCAAACAAATCTTATATTCAAACAAAACACATTACTATACATGTTTTATGGCTCCTACAAGAGTCTCCCCACTAAAGGTGGGCCATAAGAGCTGCACAGGTGTTCCATTATGCATCGGAGGCCTGATCCTTTGCCTCTGACAGGAAGTCCTGTGGTGAGCTCTAATTCTGCTCTTGTAGCCTGAGGCCCCGTCATGAGGTCTGAAACACTGAACCACTGAACCACAGCCTGGCAGGATTCTCCCACCTCTCACTGCCTGGCTCTAGCTGATGAATGACAGGGGACTCCTCCCCTGTCGACACAGGAGGGGTGCTACCTTTCGTGGCGACCTAGTAACAAAGTTAATGGAGTTTGGCTGCTGCTATTATTAGCTGCCTAAGCTAGTTTAGGCTATGGCAAAAAATAGAACGTGACATTAAATACTGATAGATTTTGGAATGATGTGCTTTAGCTGTGTGCCTTATAGTCAACAGAGGATGGAAATTGGAGGAGAAACAATTTAATCAAAACTAATTTGTGGACCTTGGGGGACATAGCCATCTCCTGAGCTAACCCATCCCTCTTGAAATCTCTCCCCAAACAGAACTGACACTGCACCAATATGTCTATACTCGGATCTCAAATCGAAACTCATATTTGGTGTTTTATCTTTTAAGTTGTATTTTATGAGTTTAAAATGTTTGAAGCATTTTACCCTGTATATTTAAAGTCTCTGAGAATCTTAAAAATACCTCTTATAAATACAATATATATATATATAGTTGAGTAATGAATAAATAAACAAAAAATATTGAAGTTCAGGTGTTTCGCAGTCTTATCTGGCCTGTGGATTGAAACTGTCCCTGAGTCTGGTGGTTTTAGTCCTGATGCTGCGGTACCGCCTGCCAGACGGCAACAGGCAGAATAGTTTGTGGCTGGGGTGATGGGGGTCTTTTATAATCATGAGGGATTTCTTCCTGAGCCGCTGGGTGTAGAGGTCCTCCATGGATGGCAGCTCCGTCCTAATGATGTGCTGTGCAGTTTTCACCACCCTCTGTAAAGCCTTACGATTGAGGGCGGTGCAGCTGCTGTACCAGGCCGTGATGCAGCCAGTCAGGATGCTCTCTATGGTGCACCTGTAGAAGGTCAGGATGCTCTCTATGGTGCACCTGTAGAAGGTCAGGATCCTCTCTATGGTGCACCTGTAGAAGGTCAGGATGCTCTCTATGGTGCACCTGTAGAAGGTCAGGATCCTCTCTATGGTGCACCTGTAGAAGGTCAGGATCCTCTCTATGGTGCACCTGTAGAAGGTCAGGATGCTCTCTATGGTGCACCTGTAGAAGGTCAGGATCCTCTCTATGGTGCACCTGTAGAAGGTCAGGATGCTCTCTATGGTGCACCTGTAGAAGGTCAGGATCCTCTCTATGGTGCACCTGTAGGAGGTCAGGATGCTCTCTATGGTGCACCAGTAGAAGGTCAGGATGCTCTCTATGGTGCACCTGTAGAAGGTCAGGATGCTCTCTATGGTGCACCAGTAGAAGGTCAGGATGCTCTCTATGGTGCACCTGTAGAAGGTCAGGATGCTCTCTATGGTGCACCTGTAGAAGGTCAGGATCCTCTCTATGGTGCACCAGTAGAAGGTCAGGATCCTCTCTATGGTGCACCTGTAGAAGGTCAGGATCCTCTCTATGGTGCACCAGTAGAAGGTCAGGATCCTCTCTATGGTGCACCTGTAGAAGGTCAGGATCCTCTCTATGGTGCACCTGTAGAAGGTCAGGATACTCTCTATGGTGCACCTGTAGGAGGTCAGGATGCTCTCTATGGTGCACCTGTAGAAGGTCAGGATCCTCTCTATGGTGCACCTGTAGAAGGTCAGGATGCTCTCTATGGTGCACCTGTAGGAGGTCAGGATGCTCTCTATGGTGCACCTGTAGAAGGTCAGGATACTCTCTATGGTGCACCTGTAGAAGGTCAGGATCCTCTCTATGGTGCACCTGTAGAAGATCAGGATGCTCTCTATGGTGCACCTGTAGAAGGTCAGGATCCTCTCTATGGTGCACCTGTAGAAGGTCAGGATCCTCTCTATGGTGCACCTGTAGAAGGTCAGGATGCTCTCTATGGTGCACCTGTAGAAGGTCAGGATGCTCTCTATGGTGCACCTGTAGAAGGTCAGGATCCTCTCTATGGTGCACCTGTAGAAGGTCAGGATCCTCTCTATGGTGCACCTGTAGAAGGTCAGGATGCTCTCTATGGTGCACCTGTAGAAGGTCAGGATCCTCTCTGCACCTGTAGAAGGTCAGGATGCTCTCTATGGTGCACCTGTAGAAGGTCAGGATGCTCTCTATGGTGCACCTGTAGAAGGTCAGGATGCTCTCTATGGTGCACCTGTAGAAGGTCAGGATCCTCTCTATGGTGCACCTGTAGAAGTTGCAGAGTATCCTGGAGTCCATGTTGAACCTCCTCAGCCTGGGGAGGAAGAAGAGCTGCTGTCGAGCTCTTTTGGTGATGGTGGTAGTGTGAAGAGTCCATGTCAGGTCCTCAGTGATGTGGACACCGAGGAACCTGAAGCTGCTGACTCTCTCCACCGTAGTCCCATTGATGGCGATGGGGGCGTGTCCCTCTCTCTGCTGCTTCCTGTAATCCACAATCAGCTCCTTGGTTTTGCTGACGTTGAGATGGAGGTTGTTCTCCTGGCACTAAGATAACAGGGTTCTGACCTCTCAGTACGCCGTGTCGTCGTCCCCGGTGATCAGGCCGATGACGGTCGTGTCGTCAGCAAACTTGAAACAAACTTTAAAGCTTGGCAATTTTATTAAAATCATATCTAGCAAATAATATGTTAAAGAAAATATAATGTATTTGCACATTTGGCTGTTTCTCTGCTTTGAGATCAGAGAGAAATCAGCTTACACTGACTTGTGGAAGTCTAAAATAAACTATAAGACAAGCTTTTGGACTAAATCATTGTCAAATTCAGACACATGGAAATTACAACGAAATTCTTTGGGATAATAATCATTTTTAACTTAAAATCCATACATTGTTTAAAAACGGATGCAATGTGTTTGGTAGAAGTGTTATGTTTTGTCTCTGTGTCCTGCAGTGGCCCTGCCCATGGTGAACGACCTGGAGCTGTTTGATATCACTCACAACTCCATGATGGTCCGCTGGAAGATTGCCGCCGGGGCTTCTGGGTACATGATCCTCTACGCCCCGCTGACTGAGGGAGACCATGCAGACGAGAAGGAGGTGAGGAGTGTGTGTGTGTGGGTTTGTGTATGCAGGGAGCAGACTATACAGATAGGAAAGCAAAGCCACAGAGTTTTAGGAGATCAGAAAACATCTCATTGCCTTGTGTCACGGATGCATCTAATGATCACATTATGATCCTATTACACTCGCGTCTCAATCAATGTGGAGTAATACATTTAATAAAGCTACATATTCCAAAAATGCTTTCTTTATGGATTGTCAGTAACATTTACACTGTGTTGTTTAAAATATAGTCGAAAATGTCATGGCAAACACCACTACTATTCCCACATACAGTTGGGTACAAAATCGTAACATTTTTGCGAACAAGATACTGTGTTTGAGCTAAAGAGAACTTCACAGAACTGAGCAGTGGAAGATCCAGTTCTGACTCACAGTTTGAATATCAAACACAACTGAGTTCTGAGAAATACAGATGCTTTGGTTAAGATGTTCAGCCACATTTGACTATGTTGCTGTCGTGAGGCACAACTCATTTGAGTGTCCTTCTTAATTGAAGAGCATGACTTTGCAAAGCCTTGGCTTTATATTTTCGTCTTTGCCTGCAGTTTGTTCAATTGTTGCATCATTGAGTTTACCCAAATATGCTAAAATAGGGTAACTGTCAGCAAACGTATACTTCTACTGGCCATTCAAATGAATACATCTGACCTGAAGCCTGTGTATTCTGTAGAGTTGCTTTAAAGTCAGGTCTGCTTTGATATGTTGTTTCTGATATGATCCCCTGCATTCTTTGTATTGAGCTCATCACCCTGTATACCCTGCCTTGAGTAATGATCAGTAAAGGGGATAAGACCCAGAACAAAATGATAAAGGCATAATGCTTTTAGCAAATGGTGGACATGTTTTGAAAGCAAAATACAATAACAAAGAAGAAAGTAGTTAGGTCACAGCTGCAGCTTCTCAAGGCAGCATTATAAATAGCTCAACAAACCCTGATTAGCGTCTTTATTGTGCACAACCCCCCAGAA